TAAACTAACCTCGACCACATCTCTCATTCCTCGCAGAGATATGCTAGAGATTATTTTTCACCCCAAGTGTTGGACACTTTACACCCTTTTGGTGTTTTTTTTTTAACAAAAAAATTGGAGGCCATGTTTATTAAACCCGCTACGGACACCTGGCAGTGAGAACATCTCCACCACTAAATCTAATTAGTCTCCAGTATCATATCTGCTGGCGACAATGATTTATCCCCATAATCAAGCATTAATCCCGAAAAAGAGCATCTCCCTCGTAAAAAATAACTGGTTCATGCATTTCATTCCCTTCAGAGATAATCACGCCATTAATCGGTTGCCTTAGGTGTTGGGCACTGCACACCCTTTTGACGTTTTCAAAAAAAACGACAAAACAGGTTAATTTGCAAGTCGTTTATTTCTTAACATGTGGGTCATAGAAGGAACATCAAGAAACGCAGAAGTTTACATGCGAATGCTTGCAGCGCCAGCGATCTTTGCGAGCGTCTCCAGTGGTTTCTTCGACGACCAGCTCCAAGCTGTCAAGTCGTTGCTGACATCAGCTGGCCCGCCTGGTGCTGTGAAAGTCTCCACCGTGTTTCCTGATCCAAACCAGCAGCCTGCAAATTGTGAATAATTCCAGTGAAATTCTATCTTCATAAATATCAAAATAGACAAAATTAGCATACAATTTGCACAAAACCGCTAGACAAAAAATTATTTTAATAAAACTCTGAGTAGACAAAGTAAGCTTTGAACGCAGTATCAACTGAAGACGCTTTAACCAGTCGGCTGCATAATTCTCGTAAAAAGATCTACTTTAATAAGCAAACGATTTGCACTACAAACGGACTACCATCGGCTCTAACCACGTTGTGTTTACGAAACGGCATGCGACGTCACATTTTCACATGCCTGCCATCAGACGGACTGTCTTAATCTTCCTCAGAAAAAGGGATTACGCAGAAAAGGACATGAAATGGCATGAAAGAGAGAGGAGAGAGTGGAGAAGGAATGCAGTCAGTGTAGAGCAAAGAAGGAGGAGGCATCATTACCGAGAGCAAAGATGGCGTCGTCGGTGGAGGTGAGAAGAGCGAAAAACGCGCAGGATTCCTTCATGCCGGCCAAGTCTGTCCACTGGCCCTGGGGACACCTGGCATCTGGCGGTGTGAACATCTCCACCACGTTTAAGATCTTTCCACCATCATATCCCCCGGCGACAATGATTTTCCCCCGAAAGTGTGTCGCTGCCAGCTGGCATCGTGCAGTTCTCATGGGTGCGGCTGGCTGCCAAAAGTCTGACGAGGTCGATCTCTCTCGCCAGTCTGCTCGCAGCTGGCAGAACTCCACAGAAGCCAGCGTGGAGGAGCCATTCGAGCCGCCAAAAACGAAGATTCGACTGTCGCCGGGCAGGCAGGCAGCCGCCGTGGCGTTCCTCTTCTCTTGCATATCGGGCAGTTTGAACCACCTGTGTGTTGGGGAGGAGACGCGTGAGGAGGCAAAACAGGAAGATTTTGCAAGAAAAAAGAAGGAGGCGCCAGGACGAGTGTGCTCTCACCTGTCCCGATTGACTTCATAGACTTCACAAGAGGAAAGGCGTCCATCGTTACCCCATCCACCGAAAACGCCGATCAGCGCCTCCCCTCCGGCTTCCGTCAGAACTGCGGCTGCGTGCCCGTTGCGTCCAACGGCGAGGGACGCCCGTTTGCGCCAGCGCCGTTCTGCCACCAGAAACTCCTCGACACTCCTGGAATAGCTCCCTTCCTGCGCAGTGCTTCCACCAACCAAGAAAATGCTCTCTTCAGTGGGGGTGAGGTGGGATGGAAAAAACTTTCATAAAATTGCGCGGAAGAAAGATAAAGTGGAAAGATAAAAGAAGATAGGAAAGATAAAATAAAAAAGGCGTGCAGTTGACAGAAAGAGGGAGAATATCATCGTCTGACAAAAAGACGTGGGCGGACAAATCTCCCAGTTGAGTGGCCCCCAGTGACGGACACAAAACACGCAGGTGGAGACACGGTTGGGTAAATTGAAGACGGAAAACAGCAAACGCGTCGGTACAGGCCAGACGAATGGACAACTCCAAGACCTCAAAACCCCTCAATTACTGCTACTACTACTGCAATCCTTTGCATTGTGTGGCGATGGCAGCTTTACTGGCAGAACTGTGTGTGTGTGTTTGTTATAATTCTGGCAAAAAGAGACACCAACTGGCGAAATTAGACAAAGAGGAAAACAAGGCAGGTGCGCAGAGGAGGTGGTGCGTAACTGTCAGGCAACTCACCGCCCACGAGACTGTAGGTGGCGTATTCACGCCTCTCCATGTCGGAAATCCGCTGTTCCTTTTCAAGCTGCGGATTGAAACGCAGGACAGACCACCTGTCCTGATTTTTGTCCTTTCCAAATACGAAGATCGTCTGAGGCGGTCTCCGACGTCGGTTGAAGGGACACGGAGGCTTGTCCTTGTCTGCGTTGCTAATCCACTGCTCCACCAGAGCCATAAGGCGACTTTCATTAGAAAATAAATAACGAACTGGAACAGCATATACTTACAGGCAGCTGTTGCTATCCTGGAAAATCGGATGACTATCGACAAGGCGATTGCGAAATTGGAGAGTCGTCTGACACCAACGAACCTCCTTTAACATCTCGGGGGCGTGCAATCTCAGTCTCTCATTATCGCACTCTTTAACGCCGGCACCCACCCAGCTTGAAATCGCCTCAAATACGTCCTCTTCAGAGTCCACTGACAGGTTGTCGTTTTGCAACAAAGTCAGCACAGTGTCAGCTGGCAGGCGAACAAATAGGTCAGAAGAGACGAAACTCATGAACTGTGCTTGCATCAGATTGATGCAAGTCTCCATCAGTGATCCCATATTCGAAGATCTAGCAAAGTCCCATGTGGTTGCCAGATTTTCTAAATTCACTCTTTACAGCCGACAGTTAGACAGAAAGAACCGGCACTTGCTTACCTATTGGCCATGAATTGCACTCCCCAATTCTCCAGATCAGACAGTTTCATCATTTTGGCAAACATCACTATGGCCATCGCATTCGTTTGGGTCACCTCCAACTGCCCGGTGTACACATACTGGAGGAGTGAATTTGCGAGGCTAGAAAGTGCAAAAGCAAAATCAGAGAAAGGCGGATTATTTTACTTTAGAGGCACCGTCGGCCATTTTAGGACCGAATTATCCTTCCCGAGGGCGCCACTGAGAGCAGCTCGCAATGACGGAATTCGAGCCGCTAGTATTATTCGATGGGCATTGAGAATAGCGCCGTCCTTCACCTAACAAGCATGAACAAATTGCCGTGTAAAGAACGGTAACAGAAAAGACAGCTACCTCTATGACGAGCTCATTCAATTCTCCCGAAGTGCGAATCTCGTTGAGGGCTGGACAGCTACGAACCAGGGGGACTGCGTCTTCGAATACTTCGACGTATGCGAGTGCCATTGCGAGTGATAACCGGAACAGGAGCGAAGAATGATCTCGAGTGCAATTAGCACTGCCTCTTATAGTGCCAGCACACTTTGAACCCGTCCGCACGCACTCATGACCTTCGGGTCCTGATTGGCCGATTTCAAAGTGCGGATTCGATTGGGCGATAGTCGGCACAGTTATATGGCGTAATGCTTAGGCGAGAACCCCCGAGTTATTTTTATTGGTCAGGGCTACGTTGGCTAGAAACCGCCGATGGCGTACACTCAAAGCCAAATGGACTGACGTGTAACTTGCTAATGAGGACACCGTCTGCGAAAATACTGCGTGGGTTCGAATCCCACCGAGGCGCCGAGTTTTTCACAGTTGGGTCAATATGAATAATTCAAAAAATCTGCCAAAACATCAATGAATTACGTGAGCCTGCTAGTCATCTGGTGGATTCTAGGTGAATTACTTAGGAAATCCTGCTTGGGCAGTCAACTTACTGTATCAGATTTGGTGGATTCCAGACGTTGCAGTAGGTTGGGCGGGTAACTTGACCCAAATGTGATTAAACTCGCGTCGTCCGGCGGGGCCTCGTAGCTCAGGTGGTTAGAGCGTTGGCTGCGCTAAAGCCTTCCCCTTACTGCGTGGGTTCGAATCCCACCGAGGCGCCGAGTTTTTCACAGTTGGGTCAATATGAATAATTCAAAAAATCTGCCAAAACATCAATGAAAATTCGAATAATTGCCACTGGGTTTTGTTACGTTTTGTGCTGATAAAGAACACTCGTGAAAACCACATGGTCGTCCGGCTAAACACACGTTTAGGTGCATCGCTTAGCAGTAAAAACTACTGATCTGGTGCGGAGGGAAGGGTGGCTGGGTGGGCTTTCATATGTCCATGCGGAAAAACGGGCAAATAAAGTAGTTCACGTAGAATAAATTTAAGGATAGTCATTCAGTAACGTTCGCAAATATATGCCCAAAGAGAACACGTAACGTCAACTACGACATTTATCTACAGTACGTGACCTATCTCGTGAAACCTGATCACGGGAACTTATGTGACAATTTTCGGACGTCTTAAAAGTTACGCATTTTGCTTGCATATTCGGCCCCTTTAATTAAATGTCCTTTTCTTGTGCAGAAATTGTGTTTACACAATTATATCCAGCAAAATATTAACTATTATTTTTTTAGAAAAAATGAACATTGCAATATATTCGTGCCATTTCATATGCTAATATCTGTCCTAGACTTCGGTTGTGCATTTGAGCGTGTTTCTCATTAAAAAGTGACCAATTTACTCGCGGGAGTTATAATAAGCTGAGGTTTGCCGACTTGAGAATTTGTTTCATGTCCGATCCTAACCCTGCAATCAATTTTCTCACACAAAGGTCATTTTAAAAGAACCAAATATTTTAACGATTTTTAAAAAGTCATATTAGCAGGTCAGTGCGACTTGGTGCCCTGAAGTGCAGTAATAACGCAGACAGGGATTCCTTCGTTTAAATGGGCTGAAATTGTTTTACCGTTTAGAGGATTTTGCGTGATGTCACAGAAATGACCACCACCAAGTGGCCATTTCCAGTCTTGAAGATAAGAAACATTCCTCGCCGTGTAGTCTAGTTTGCGCAAATGCCTTATTCAGAAACGGAACCAGCCAAACATGAGCAGTTTCATCAGAATATCAGTATTTATGTGGACGCTCTCTCGTGCATTCATAATCGATGAACGGAGTCTAAACGCGAGCAAAAACAATGAAAATGGCCGCAATATATAGAGAAAGATATAATCTTGCGTTTACGGTAGAAATATACCAGTATGGTTTAGGAAGGTGAAAGAAACGGCCAAGATTGTCATATTTTTTTTCTTGGCCTCACCGTGCAAAAGTGCAAAGTACACAGAGATCCGTCAACGGAGTGCAGTAAGAAAGCACTTCCTAAAGAGGTAATTTAGTAGAGAGGGTTTTCAAATTGTGATTGAAAGCCTATTTGTTACTGACTTTCGTTGTGGACAGCTATTCTACTCGACAATGAAGTTTCATGCTTGAGTGAGTCTTCAAATTCGACTCAAACGACCTTCTTCATGAAAAAGAACGTCCAAACACTCGCTACTTCGATAAATGCCTTATTTAAAAGTTTAACAGAAACATGTTACAGAATACCTCTTTATGGGCGATCGGATGACAACACTGAAAACCAGCAACGTTATCCTGAAGAGACAAAAATTAAACGTCAATTTAACGCAAGAAAAAGTTCTATTCATAAACACAAAATAATATAGGCTGTATGTTATTACAGACAAAGACAAGGGAGACTGGAATGGCAGTTTCTGGCTTATTAGCCGTCGTCAGTCAGTCATACCCAATCCCGAAGCGTGGAACACGCGAGGCTCGAACTCGCGATCTGTTGGTTAGATGTACACGCCTCTAACCACTCGGCCACGATCCCAAGAGTCGAAGACAATCGACTACTGTAGAATAACCACGTAATGCCAATTCAACAAACGAGTACTACCACAAGTAGTATGAAATGTATGCATCAAAGATACCATACCGTACTCCGGACACGTGTAACAACTAAAAGCCCAGACATGGGTTTCGCCGACACTGCCTCTGCATGACACAACTGCGAGGGGTTCGGCTCTTGGTTATGACTGGCTAACGACAGCTAATGCGCCAGAAATGGCCATTTCAGTCTCCCTTGTCTTTGTCGGTAATAACATACTGCCTATATCATGCGCCGCTGTGCGGCTGCTGGTTGGGTTCGAGAGAGAGCCCGTAAGGCACGACGGAACGAGTGAGTTCCGGAAGAACGATCGGTGAGCGCCCCTACCAAAATATACAGTTAGTGACCTAACGCATGAAATGTGTCGAAATTTACGAATGATTGCTAATCACTCGCAAACCGACACCATTTCACGAGTTCGATTTCTATGTTAATTAACTACAAGTTTAAAAGCATTAAAAACACAAAAGAATTGTTAAAGACAGTGTGGCGTTATTTAGAAATTCCGATTTATTTTGAAAAGCGTAATATCCCGAAAACGTCAGAAATGGCTCTAATTTAGTAAACGTCGTTTTTAGATGTACCGAATGTATTATCATACCAAAAACGAAGTAAATATGAAAGTAGACATAAAACAACGTCTAATAACAGTGTTTTAGTGAAGTTTACATCTAAATATCGTTTAATGAGTAGTGTGATTTCATATATGACGGTGTGTCAACTGCCTACATTCTGAGTGCAGACTCCAAAACAGTTTTCCAGTGAGTCCTCCTTCATTTTGTTTGTTTAAAGTAAATGAGATGGGGTTCAACAAGAGAAGCTGGATTTTGCTTGATTTCACCGATGGGGACGTCGTAGGAACAACAGTTTTCATAAGGTGACATGCCACGAGACCGGTCGGTGCCTAATAAATTTAAATAGAACTGACAGGCGTGATCGTGAACGTGCCATTTTGAGTTTGTGGAGATCAATATTCTTCCGTTAAATTAATTTACACTTCTCTTTCGTTTTGGATAACGTTTAGTTTCAAATCGGTCTCGAAATGTTGCTGAATACTTAGTGATTTTCAGTGTTTTCACCCGATCGTCCATAAAGACAGATTCTGAATTGCCTGTCTGTTGAGGACTTTAAAATAAGATTATTCTTGAAGGCATTTACCGAATTAGTGAGTGTTCGGGCGCTCCTTTTCACGAAGATGGTCGTTTGGGTCACATTTGAAGACTCGTTCAAACATACAACATCATTTTCGAGAAAAATGTCTGTCCACAACGAAAGTCAGCAACGAATATGCCTTTGATCAATGAAAAGACTTTCGGTGGTAAGTAAAGTAACCTTTTTAAGAAGTGCTTTATTACTGCACTCCGTTGATGGAGTTGATAAAACCACTGGTTCTCTTAAAATAACCTTTGTGTTAGCAGGTGGATCAACATGGCTATGATCGAATTTAAAATAAAATTTATAGTCCGGCTAAACCTGTTTATTAAAACTCTCATGGGCAAATTAATGTGCTTCCAATGAAAAAGCCGCTCAGATGCGTAACCGGAGTCTAAGACACGTATTAGTATAGGAAATAACACGAATGTCATCCAACGTCCATTTTCGCTAAAATTTACAGATATTTTACTTGATATAATTACGTAAACACAATTTCTGCACAAGAAAAGGACATTTTATTGAAGGAAGTGGAAGAGCGAACAAAATGCTCAACGTTAAAGGCGTCCAGAAGGTCTCTCATCAGTTTCCATTTTCAGATTTCATGAGATAGGTCACGTACTGTAGTATGCTTAAGATTGAGAGAGAGAGTGCCCGTAAGGCACGACGGAACGAGTGAGTTCCGTAAGAACGATCGGTGAGCGCCCCCTACAACAAAATAATATGTTTAAGATTACGCCTATCAGTTCTAGCGAAATTTATTGGTCACCGATTGGCCTGGCAGCATGTGACGTTATGTAAATTTATGTTCTTAAGACGTCCCCATCGGCGAAGCCAAGCAAAATCTAGTTTCTCTTGTTGAACCGCATCTCAATCAGCCCAAGTAAGTCAAAAATACCGCGAAATCTCCGCAAACTGTTTTGGAATCTATACTCCGACTGAAGGCTGTTGACAAACCGTCATACATGAGATTACACTAATTCTTACACGATACTTAGATGTGGACTTCACAGAAAAAAAACCACTATGTTTGATCGTTATGTTATTTGTACATTGCCATAGAGGAGACTGCATTTGTTTGCCCTACCTTTAATACTACAGAAAACTTAAACATTTAACTAGTTTCGAGCTCGAAGGTCGGCTTGGTGATCGACCCTTCCTGAAGACTCCAACGTTGAGAACGCAACAAACGACAATCTCGGCAACTTCAATGGATGACTTCTTTGTCAAATTGACAGACAATTCAGTGCTGACTGGACGACAGTTATGACAAAATGATTGAGATTATACTGGTGACAGACTTGCGCAGCATTTACCTCCACGCGTGGCACGACGTTACCCGTAAATTGGTTACAAACCTGCAGTTCTG